GGGGGCCGGGGCCAGGCCAGGCTCGGGATGGCGCAACCACGGCCCCCATCTTCCCTCGGCCGTCCGCGGAGGGGCTCCTTGCCCACTGGGGCCGGTTGGCAGGTGAGGACCCAAGCGGGGGCTGCCTGGTCGTGGGGTCCTCGGGACCAGGGCAGCTCGACTTTTTCGGAACTCAGCGGGCTCTGCCGAAGCCAGGGCGGGTGTCCGAGGCTCCGTGACGGTGAATGTGTTCGCTTCTGGGCTGACATCAGCCTCGGCAGCCACAGGGCACACCCTTGCCCAGGGGTCTCAGGCCTGGGCTCTTTCTGCAGCCGTCCAGGGTCAGCTGTGGTGGCACGGTGGCCCTGGGCTGCAGTAGCACTGTGTGTGTGAACACAGCCTTCCGGACCACTCTACCCCTCCCTGGACTCCCTTGGCAGAGCCTGGCATAACTTTCCGGTGGTGCCCTGCCTGGTGGAGATGCCCCCATCTGGGCCACATCACTGGCAACCGTCGCCATGTGTCAGGGCGTCTGCTGCTCCCTGCCAGGCTGTGACTGTGGGTGTTACTTGTTGCTGTGTGTACACTCCGGGTGACAGAACCATGTGTCAGTGTTTATGTGGCTGTGACTCCCCTTGCAAGAAGATGCACTTAATTGTTCCTGGCTGTTTGGTCACCCTGAGCAGGATGCCTTGGGGGACGTGAATGTACCTTTCATCACTGTCTTGTTGGGACAGTGCTGGTCTCAGGTCACAGGGCTACCCGGGCACAAATGCCAGTGTTGCTGTCACACAGCATGCTGGCTTGAGGGGCGTGCTTGCCTGCCTGCCTGCAGGCGTGTGCCTGTGGTACCTGCTGTAACTGCCTGTGGCCATAGGTAAGTGTGGGGGGGGAGTCTCCCGGGGACTCCTGTGATGGACCTTAAGGCTGGGTCTTGCCTCTGTGACAGCCTCAGTGTGCAAGGGGTTTATGTCTGGTGACCTTCGACAGGCTTTGCATACGGTTGTACCTCAGTGGGTGTGAGAGGTGTGGAGGTCCAGGCCCATGTCCTGCAAACTCAGGAGTTAACTACTCCCACAGCTGCTGGGTTTGTTCCTTTTCTCTGAAGTCTGTGGGCCGGTGTCTGTCCTGGCTGCTGTATAGCGTGCATGACCCTGACGGGGGCAGGCAGGTTGTAGCGGTGCGTGGGGCTCTGGGTCTGAGTTGGCTGAGTGCACCTGCGTGTCTCTGAGTGTGTCATTGTGTCTCTCGTTCTCAGACACGAGAGTGCTTTTGTGGTCTTAGTGGAGCTCCGTGTTCAGTTACTGGCGTGCAGACTTGCACAGATGTGGTTTGCCTGTGTGTGTGAGTCTCTCGTGGTTCATGGGCCTGTGTTTCTGTAAGTGCACTGTTGTGTAACTTGGGACGATAGCTTGTTGTGTGTTAGTGTGTATCTCTGAGTCTAAGAATCTGTGCACAGACCCTGTGGAGTTGTGTGTGTGTGTGGCATATGTGTGATACGGTGAGACTGATTGAATATTAGCGTGCAGGCCTGTGTGTGTGAGTAGGAGTGTATGGGGAGAGTGTGTGTGCTTCCTGGTGCATGGCCCCATAGCATGCATGTGAGTTCAGGCAGTGACCCCACTGGGCAGCAGAGGTGCCTGAGTTGAGCCTTGGAGGGGTTGGGGGAGGGACACCATCCTGGAGACTCTGGGGGCTTCCCAAGCCCAACCCCCAGCATTGCCAGCCGGCAGGGATGCCGCCTTCCAGGAAGACTTGCAGGGAGTTGGCGCTGGGAAGGCCGGTGCTGCCAAGTGCAGCTGGCAGATGCTAGATTAACCCTGCATGTGCCCTGGCTGGCCTGGGAGAGCCTGGCTTGAGCATGAGAGGGTGTGTGTGTGTGTGTGTGTGTGTGTGTGTGTGCTCGTGCACAGGTGTTGGGGCGATGGGCCATCCCGGCTTCCTCTGGCAGATGCTAGATTAACCCTGCATGTGCCCTGGCTGGCCTGGGAGAGCCTGGCTTGAGCATGAGAGGGTGTGTGTGTGTGTGTGTGTGTGTGTGTGTGCTCGTGCACAGGTGTTGGGGCGATGGGCCATCCCGGCTTCCTTGCGACTGAAGAGCTCCCCAGCCCACCCTGCCGGTGGGGAGGTGGGCTGTCCTAACCTGAGCCTCGCCTTCTTTCAGGAGAACTGGGTAGAACCACAGACCTTCCTGAGGATCCTGGCTGGACTCATTTCTGGGCTGGGACCTGGGGCTCTTCTGAGCCCGTGCAGTGACATGGAGACTGTCTTTTCCCAAGGACACAGTCTCCTCCCTTAGTAAAGAGGGTTGAGTTGGGGGAATCTGCCTGGGATGCAGGCCTTGCGCCCTGGGCTCGCCTCACTTTACAGTCTGTCAGACTACAGGCTCATGATACTGCTCCACTCCCTCCTGCTGCTCAGACCAGAATCCCAGTGCTTGGTCAGAGTTAGGGGTCCCAGAGCGGGTGGGCTCCTGGGGGCTCGGCGGGCTCAGCTGGACCACCCTCAGGACTGACTCGCTCTCTGCCCTCTGTTGCAGAACACAGATCTGTTTGAGATGATTGAAAAGATGCAGGTGAGGACGGCTTTGTAGCCTGTTCTGGGGAGCTGCAGAGGTGGCTGGACTGGGGTGGGGGTCCTTACTCTCTCTCCAGCCCTGTACCTCCCTGAGGACCGACTGGGAGCCCTCGACAGACCACGCCAGACAGTAGTGGCAGCTCGTTGTCCAGATCCTTGGGGTCGGGGTGGATGGGACCGGTAGCACCCTTCCTACCCTGTCCCACTTAGAGGCCCATCCAAGGTCCCAGCCCCGCTCCCTGAGCAGGCCCCCAGCAGGGCTGCGGTCAGCTCCTCAACCCCACCTGCAGGAGCCTCTGCAGGACCCCATGTGGATTGGGAGGAGGGGACTGATGCCAAGGACCTGTCACCCAGAGGCTATGCTGCATGCAGGTGGGGGAGGTGTTGAGAGCCAGGCAGTCTGGAGGGCAGCCCCTTCAGAGCCTGACCCCACCCACCTTCACCCTCCAGACCCTGTCTTACTGCCCTTGTCTGGACTTTGCATGTGTGTGTGTGTGTTGGAACGTGGGGAAGGAGGCTGCAGAGGGTCCCCATGGCTTGCACAAACCTCCAGAGCCTTCCTTGATGTCAGCTCACCCTGCAACCCCTGCTCTCTCCTGCTCCTGTTTTTCTCTGCCCCTCTTAGTCTTTCAGCTTTGCCCTCCCTCCCGCCTTTCTGTCTTCCTCTCTCCCTTAACACACATCTGTGTAGATGCAGTAGCCCCCTCCCCACACTTGCACGCAGGCATGCGTGCACGCCGCCCCTGCCCCCGCTCCCAGCGGCACGT